ATATAAAGTCACTTCTATTATACCTTAAGAATCCCTATTATCTTATGCTTAGTAATCAACTAGATTACATAAGCTCTATCTATTATATCTATTATATTATAAAGGGTCCCTCAATTGGCCGACACATAATATACTTTATAAGGAATGCATTTATATAGCTATTATAAGTAAAGATAATAAAAGTTACTACTTTAAGGTAACTACTAGTTGCTCTAGATAATACTGTTCTTATAAAGTCTAACTCTATATATAAAGAGTTTATACTTAGTATTAAAGCTAATAATACTGCTAGGGGCTTATTAGCAGCTAGGGGAAAGAAAGCTTATATAAAAGCTTTACTTAACTAAGTTATAAACTTAGTTATTAAGAAGTAAGCTTTACTTTTATTATTTTATTATATATATATTTTAATATAAGTAGTAGCTTGCTTTTACCTATAGGCATTTTAGTATTTAGCGTTTTAGCATTACTTTATATAATTTTATTTGCCTTTTAAGTATGCTTTACTTAGAAGAAGTAGGCGCTTATATATTTAAGAGGTAATTAATTTAATGCCCCCTCTTAGCTGTACTCTTATTTACATAATTATAATATTATAAGAGTTAGCTTTAGCTGCTTAAATTAACTAAATTAAGTAGGCCTTTAAAGTATTTAAAATGCTGCTTATTTAATGCCTTTATAAATCTATTAGTAGGCATTTTAGCTATAGGTAAATATATAACTTTAAAGCTTTCTTTTTTTATATTTCTATTTTAACTATATATTATAAATATTAATATAGCGTAGATATATATTAATTTGCTTGCTTAAATTAAGTATAAGATAAATTATCTGCTAATTATTATATTAAATATTATAATTCTCTCTTAAGTTAAAATAAATATTGCAAAAAAAGCGCTTTAAGGCTATAATCTTCTTTGCTGCTTATTATAAAGCAAGCAGTTTAGCCTTTATTATAAATATAGTTACTATATTCTAGTATATAGCTTTCTAGATAACTAGACCTCTAAATAATATAATAATATATTTTTATAATAACCTTTATATACTTAAATTATCTATATATAAAGTATTACTTACAACTTTTAACGCTTTAATTTCCCTTATACTACTATAATAAAGAGTAACTTTGCTTATTAAGGCTAAGTATTAAATAGCTTAGTCTACTGCTTTTTAATGCTTAGAGCTTAAGTTTATTAGGAATTATAAAAGCTTAGAAGCAGTATAGGCAATATTTAGTCTAATTATAATTGCTGTATATAACAGAGAGCTAACCTTTTCCTAGTAGGCTTTAATTTCTTGCTTAGTTGCCTTACTAACGTGCTATATAAGCTTTATTATAAAGATTAGTATAGCAGGAAAAGTAGCTTTCTATACTTAACTAAACTTTTAACTAATTTTTTCTATATAAGCTTTATAATAAAGGAAAATTTTGCAGTATAGTTTGTCTCTAATAATTTAAATGCCTAGAAAGAAGCTTAGTTTGCTTTTCTCTTCTAGATTATATACTTACTTTAAGTACTAAACTATATAATTTACTACTTGCCTTGCTTCTCTTCCCTTATAAAAGGCGTATAATATTGTCTATAAAGAATATTAAATAGACATTCTAAGCTTTATTAAAGAAGATATATAGCTCTTCTTTGCTTAAATTAAGCCTAGCTCTCTTAAGAGTTATACTTAGCTCTTTAAACTATAAGCTTAGTAAGTCTTATAGCCTATATAAAGCTTTAAGTAATTAAATATACTTCTCTAGTATTTTGTAACTATTAAAGAGCTTATATATTACTAGTATTATATGCTTGCTATACTTTATATATAGAAAGGCATTCTTAATATTAAATTATAGTAATTCTATATTATACCTAGCAGCTAGTGCTATTATAATTTAAAATATATTCTATAAGTATTACTATATAGGTTTATTTAATTATAAAGTAGTTCTATAAATTGCTATATATATAGATATATACTTTATATTTATTAAGATAACCTTTCTTATTAAACTTATAGGTATAAACCTACTTAAGAGGCAGCAGCCTAGACTAAATATTTATATACTTAATTTCCTCCTAGGTGCCTTTATTATATAGTATAGTAACTTCTATAGATATTACTTTCTTCTATTAAGCTTTTAATAAGTAGTTTTATATCTTCTTCTAGGATTTAAGCGCTTTAACTAGATTAGTTAAGTAAACCTTCTCTAAATTAAGCTGTTATTAAAGCTAAGCTTTATTTTCCTTATTATATATTATATTAATTACTATATAAACTATTATAAAGCTTTATATAGCTTTTATATTTATATTCTACTAATTAGGCAGAATATTCTCTAGTAGCTGCTATAAATATTATATTAAATATATATTAAGATGTCTTCTACATAAAGCACTCTAATCTTAGCGCTTCTTTCTAGCTTGCCTTATGCTATGTCAGCCAGAAAATAGGGGTGCATGCGCTGTGTACAATTGCGCAGTAATATAAGGTCAATTTGCGTCTCCAAATTGCGCAGTAATATAAGGTCAATTTGCGTCTCCAATCGTTGGAGCGCGTTCCACTTTTGCGTGGTGCAGTTAACCTTGCGATTTTTCCGCTAACAGTTATAAGCCCAGTCGCCGCAGGCCCTGCGCTGCACGGTCGCATGTTCGAACCCCGTTACAATTACAACTTTTACAAGAGCCTTCTATAACAACAACTATAACAACAACTATATTCACAGGGTTCTACTACAACTATTACTACAACTTTTAACTATTATAGGCGACAACAAATTTCCTACCTAACAACAGTACAGCAAAGCTCTAGCGCACTTATACAGCTTACAGCGCTGAGAGGGCTGAAAGCTGGGGGGGTGTGTCAGCCAGAAAATAGGGGTGCATG